TACTCCTGACAGTAGCTAGTTAGAGGAAGATGGTATCACAAGAGTATTCTTCCTCTCCTCCCCACTCACACCACAGCAACCCACCAGCAAACCAGGTTGATAACTAACGCCTGCATAAACCCCAGAGCTCACCACAGATGTTGGAGCATCACACGCAACGCTAACCAGCAAGTTCTCAGGCTGTGCCACTTCGTGCCTTTACTGACGGAAGCCAGATCATTTCTGTCCCTTAGTCTGGCTCACACCCACCCATCTGCCACCCACCAGGTCACCCACATCCCACCCCCTCAAACAAACAAATAAAAAAAGTTTCCCTGGTGCAGCACCTACCCCAGACTGCCCGCACTTTCTGCACCAGCCACCCTGCCAGCCCTCCACTGCCACCACGCGATACGGGGCTGCAGGAGTCGAGCACAGCTGTTCAGGGGCTGGCATTGATTTTCTGCCCACACCCGTCAAGCTGAGCATTTGTGCACCTCCCAGTCCGCAATGCGTTCGACGGGCAGCTCATGACCAGCTGCCTGGCACCGCCCGCATCTATCCCCTGCTGCCGGGGCTGCGGGGCTGCAGCCGGTGGCAGGGTGGCTCACGTGCGTGACAGAGGCAAGGGGAGGCCTGCCCCCCTAAACCAAGATTTAAGAAGGTCTGTTCCGCCAGGGGTGCATTTCTAGGGTGTGGAGGAGTCGGGATACGTCTGTCCCAAGCATTTACCCTTAGCACTCATCAGGCAGCCAATGGATTTAACATAATCCAAAATAAATCTCAAGGTGTTCTGGTATCTGTAGCCAGACTGGTCCAATTAATAACCTGAAAAACACTTGAGAAATAAAATATTCCCTCCACCTGGGGAGCAGAGTCCACACCCTGCAGCACCCTGGCCTCGGAGACACGTGGCTGGTGGGATGCAGGCAGGGCAGTGCTAGCTGAAGAGCTCCTCAGGAGGCAGGGGGATGGTGTGTTGGTCACAGCAGCTACCTACAGGTGAGAAACCCCCTGCTAGCTGGTAGGAAGGGAAGCAAATAGGGCATTTCGCTCTCACCAGCGATGGTGGAAGAAGAACGAGCAGCTGGAACCTGCTCAGAAACGTGGCCAGGTCCGTGGCTCTGAAAACACCCGAGGTTGGGAAGGTTTGCGGCATGAGGAGATGGCCGACTGCCTGTTGAGAGCTAGCGTCTCAGGAATACCACCAGAGACAAATTTGATGATAGCATACCTGGAGGCACAAGCTGGACCCAAGGATCCTTACAAGTCTATAAAGACCTCTGCTCATTCCCTCCCTGCATGATCCCCAGGGAGGAAAGAGAGCAGAGCACATCCAGTCGTGCATAACCTTTGCTGTTCTTCACTGAGACAGGACTGACAGTGAAACCTCTGGCTGAAAACCAACTGCCCAGTCACCAGAAGGGCAGATTCCCTCCCTATCCCACAGTGCAGCCTGGGCTTGTTGCACAAGCCTTGAATGCATGAAGGACTGGCCACACCAGAGCTACAGGCAAGGTGTGCCAAGAGTTTCTGGTAGTGCCTTTTCCCTCAAGTTGAAGATTTCACTGTGGCAGAAAGGGTCTGACCCCTCTCATTCCCATTTCTGCCAGGGTCACAGCAGCAGCAACCTCAAAGGTTTCCTTACCCACCTAGGCATGTTCCTCCCCATCACTGCCTCCTCAGAGGTACATCAGACACATTTTGAGGACACACAACTGAAGAAAGGATCTCCAAGGGGTATCATTTATGTTCCTGGCTCCCCCCCGCCAGGCTCAGTGGCTCGGCTTAAGCATCTCTATTCTGCCCAAACCCTGTTCAAGGCATTTAACCCCCCCCCCAATCAAATGCCTTTGCAAGAACCAGGAGACTGATCCCCACCACACGTTAAATCAGATTCCTGATGTAGATGGTGAGATCGCAAAGGCAGGCAAGGACTCAGCCCCGTACCCGGCTCTGGTGCCCCCAGGAAGGGGCAGGGGAATGCCCCACACATCCCCAGGGCACCCAGCCACCAGCACCAACCTTATTTTGCAGTCGAAACACCACCCTGCCTCGTCAGTGAGGCACCAAAATCTCTGTTCTGTTAGAGAGAGGACACAGCAGCAGCACCTGGAGAATCTGACACGGGAATCCCAATGGATAAAGCATCAACACACTGCTGGGAAGTTTGCATTAGTGAAGCTGGAGCAGCTGGCAGCTCCTAGGGCATCACTACTGCCAAGTAAAATCCTGTTGGGAGATGTTTTCCTTCACCTGTGGGACAGCACATCTGACCTGTCATCACTGCCTGCTGGTGAGAAGTAACCCTGTCTTTTCCAGTGGCACGCCTGTAGCCTGTGCTTCACATCTGGCTTGCTAAAGTGCTGTCGAGTACAAATCTCTGGGTGGCATTAGACCTGCCTCCTGGCCTCTGCACACAAGAGGTCACGCTCTTTACTCAGTAATACAAAGAACTTCAAACATACAGCTCAGGAAAGAGCAACGAAGAGGGCTAGAGGTACGGCAACAGCCAATCTTACTTTAATAAAATGCATTTCAAAAGAAAGCCTGCACAAGTTTTATGAGCAAGAACAGCCCCCGAGACTGCAGAAAGACCTACTTCTGCTCCATCCATCCTCCAACCCACCAGCCCAACCTTGCAAAACGTGCAACGTACACTCCCGAGCAACAACTTCATATTGTTGATATCACCCTGCTGAAAGTTACAGGGCTTCTCCCTTCTTTCTCCCCACTACATTTTTTTTAAACTAAGAGGGGAAAAAAGGGAAAAAAAATAACAGAAACCCCAAAAATTCCAAAAGTGAGACAACAAGAGGAAAGGCATGTAAACAGTTTGCAAGTAATTCATATGGATGCCCACAGGGTGCTGTGTTTTCAAGAGAAGACCAAGCAAGTTTGCTAGCAGAGGAGTGCATGAGTTGTAAGAGGTAGTGTCATCCATCAGCACTAGCAAATAAACCAGCCAGATTTCAGGAAAACTTCACCAGAAGTTGAATTTCAATGTGCAGCGCAAGAATTCAGTATAAAAGGCTTCTATTCAGCGTGTCCAGGAAAATGCCAGCTGTTGTAGATACATTTTGTAATATAACAGGACTTAACAACATCTATCTATCTATTAACATGAGGTCTGTTGGCATTTCTATTGACAGAAGAAGAAAGGTTGGATTTGCCTTTAAACAATTGTCATGCGTACACAACCATATTCAGTGACATGCGCAGCTTCAAACTTCGAGTGCACACTAATTTAGAAAATACATACAGTTGTGGTGTGCAGATGGACCTAGTAATCATATATAAAACGTACTTTTTTGTTATCCTAAGCATCCCATGAGCCTACACTGCACACACAGAAGTACTTTGCTTTGTCCCTTATTACGATGCACAGTAAGGGAAAGCCTTAGTTACAACATCACCCAAGTCAGGTCTGTGGGAATGAGCTCCTCAAAAGCTAGCTCTGCTCCAGATGACTAACTCCACCAGCAGCTTTTAGAAACAGTGACCCTTAATGGTTTTTCTGTCAGGGACTCATGTTCATAATAAAAGGGATGCTCTTTTCTGCCAGTTCTGCAAATCCAGCTTGCTGCCTAGGAACAAGTTCTCACAAGCCACTGGCATGCATTAACAGCACAATAAAGCTTTGGCTCCCTGTGCAACGCAGGTCTTCAGATTACTCCAAACCACCTCGGTGACCTCAGTGCCCTGGCTGGAGTCACACAGGAGCAGTCGGCGTATTGGCAGTGAGTAAGCATTCACCTGATACCCGAAGGACCGTATCGGACTCCTAACCCTCAGCTATGCTGCTTCTGCAGGTCCTTCAGCAGTACAAGGCGATGGCATCTTCTTTTTGTCACTCGTTAGTGACATGGCTCTGAGCAGGCACGGAGGGAAAAGGTCCCGTTAGTACGCAGTCACGTCTCAGAGCAGCTTCACATTTTTGCTAGACATAGATCGGTGTGAGAGCCCTCACAGGGAAAGGGGCTCTGGAAGGCGTTGACTTGTGGTCACTCGAGAGAGTCAGCCACGAGCACGAAATGGTGAATTGGGAATCCTGGGGCCACTCGCAGCAAAACGTATGAAGAGCTAAGAGTCACTGAAAGCCAGACCACCTGCGCATCAGGTCAAGGAACTGCTCTTAAGCACTAGTCCCAAAAAGCTATTTATTTGCCTGACCTAGAGAGGAGAGCAGCTTTACAGATCTGTCACCTGGAGATGACAGCTCTACTTGGTACTTGCGGCAGCAGTAAGACCATAATGAAAGCTACTATTTCTCAGGGACAAAACTCCCATCAATGTCAAAGGAAGCAAACCTGGACTTGTGCTCCTGTTCCTTCTTACTTATTTTCCAATTTAGGGAAGAAAACTTACCCACGTATTTCAGTGTTTCTAACCATTCTGTTGAGAGGCACAAGCATAAGTAGCTCTGAGGTGATAACACCTTCCTCTCACTACTGACATTTAGGTCATCATCTGTTTCATACAATCTCATCATTGGCAAAACAAGGGGAGTCAGGATGCCAATCAGACAGGCAGAGTCCAGGTGCTAGCCATGAAACACTCAAGTCCTGGGCCTCTGCTTTTAGATGCATCACTTAAAGTAATGAATCCCTCTTTTCTAGGGCACTTGGCAAAGCCCCTGCCATAACTCAACCAACGCTGGTGCTCCAGTCACTCACAGGCTTCTATCACAGCATCTCTCTGTTGTGCATCAGAATCAAGCCTTACAAGAAAAACAAAAATGGAAAAGTTGGTGGCCACCATTTCTGGTAAAAGCATTGCCCTGCCTCTTCTACTTCTACCC